CAAAATATTCAGAAACCTTCAAAACGTGAAGATATGCAAAAAAATTTATTTTCGATTTTTGGTCCATTACTATAACTACCCTACGGGAAGTTGAAAACTGACAAAAAACTCACAAAAGTCTGAATCGTATGAATTTGAAATAAATCTTAATGAGCGGAATTCAAGTATTTTTCTCACTCTTGTACGAGCTATAAAACTGCCCCAGCATTTGTTACAAGTGGTATAAATGATTTTCTAAAGAACTAAATATGACGATAACAAATTATAATTCTCATTAGTTTAATTCAGAATAATAAATCTTGAAGCAAAAGTCAATTGACTTCGTCTATATCGTCTATAGACGACAATCATCACAAAGGTCGTCAAGCGCAAGTCCTTTGTTTTTATATATAAGGTTTCTTAGGGTAATTTCTTATACAGTGAAGTTAAAATATAAATTGTTTATGACGTATCGTAGCTTTTTTCTACGTATGGCTGTGGAAAAAAGTTCACCCCATATTGAACTGAAATTTAAATTCATATCTTGCAACATTCAACTTTTATTAGACAATTTTTTTTATTAGACAAGTAGACAATACAATACACCTAAAAATTCAATAACTATTTTTAAAATGTTTTTGTTATTAAGCGTTTTCTCTCATTCTTATTAAGCATAACTGCTTTTATTATCATTTAGCATTTAATTCAAACAGCTGTTTATTCGGAATTTCATTATGGTAAAGCTAAATATTCTAAATATCAAAGTGGTCTAGCAGTTCAGAAAATATTATACTTTGATGTGTAACCAGACTTCACAAAAGCACTCGAAGGACCCTGCATTCCGACTCAGGGCATGATCGAAATACGAGGCAAAATGCAAAATGCTTGCAATCTTTTCCATTGAAAAATGCTATGATGCGATATGACGGAATTCTAATTATTTTGGTTCACTTTTAATAAAATTATTTAAGTAGTTCTTGAGAAAATCGTAAATGTATCTCTTTTCATAAACAACCAGAGAACTTTTAGAACAGAGAAAGTTTCTTTAGAACAGTTATGGATAATACATATGGAAAAACAATAATTCAAGTCCAATATTTTATTTTACACGTAATACAAAAATTGTCAAAATTTTGAAATCTCAGAGAGATATTAGTGATAAATTTATTTCTCTTTTGATATGCAAAATTAATGATTTTTTGAAGTTTAATGAGATATTTCAGAATATTTACCAAGCCATGCGCTCGCGTGGTAATATATAGGTATTTCTTGAAAATCTCGCAATCGAGAGTTATCTCTAAATATTAAACATTCGATCAATTAATTTTATGTTTTTATGCCTTAATATCAATAAGTCTCCCTTTAATTAGAGGATTTGTGTGAAGTGCATGGGCTTCTCCTGTATTATTGTAATTTTTAGCTACTAGACTTGGTAGAAGTTGCATACAACTAGCCTCAAACACGGGGTAAGTTGTAACATACCATTTTTCCAGAAAATTGTGAAATAATGAATAAAAGTTATCGAATTATTTTTGCTTGATTCGGTAGAGTAATTGTTACAGCAACTATCCATCTTTATTTCGTAGAAATATAATCAGTACATCTCAAAATATATTAGTTTTAAAAAAAACTATTACAACTTGCCCTAGTACAACTACTTCGGCATTTCACCAAGTTGCATGTTCGGCAAGTTGCATGGACTTCCCGAGATGTGGAAATAATATACTTAATACTCAAAAATTAAGATTTAGCTATTTACTTAATATTTTTTACTTCTTGTGATAATAGTTTTAATAGCTGTATTATGGACGAAAGTTATGATTTGAATTATTGTCTGTAAATTTTTGTAATTGTGAACTCTGTTCAAATATTTCATATTTTATTTTTAATTTATTTTGTGAAGAACTCCTTTAATTCGTATTGCATCAAGAGCTTTTTCCAAGTAGTAGTAAACATCCACGCACGTTTATTAAAATTCAATGTCTTATTTTCTATTAATTGCACTAACGAATGTAAAATGTAACGTCTTTGTCTGAAACCATACTGTGCAATAGTAATGATTTATGTTATTGTATTTACAATTCCAATTTGTATGCGCATTGGAACCAGTCTTAAGTACTGAGAAGATTGTTTCATGTATTCTATGTAGTACAGTAATTAATGATTTATTACATTGTACATCTAATGGTACCTACAATAAATTAAATGGTACGGTTATTTTCATTTATTATCATTTATTAAACACAGTTATAGTACTATATAAATTAATATATTAACAAATAGGGTAGGGCGGAGTACATAGGTTCAAATTGACTCTGACCAATTATATTGTGAAAACCAAACCAATTATATATCACAGCAAATAGCACATATCAAGCAAACAACTATCTGACTATGTTCAGTAAAACTCCCAGCTAATTCATCATTGTAGAAATGTTATTTGCTGTTTTTCAAAAATTTGTATTTTGGTTCCTTTTACCCCATAGGCGGTGTAAATTGGGACGGCTAAGGAGAAACAGGTTTAATGTTTTATTTTAGTTTTAAAGGGATTTTACAAAATAATAGCTACATTATTCAACCAATGCAAAATATGAATTTTATGGGTGGATTTTTACAGAGATGACACTGTAAATAATCTTGATCTGGTATTTTGTCAGAAAAATATCAGAAGGATTGGAGTAACTATTTATTTAAATTATCTCCTGTAAATTGTTTTAACTTAATTTACTCTTTTATTTGCTATTTTTTGCTAGGGTAAAGATTTAGTTGGTCCTTCTTGTATCACCCAGATGTAGAGATTATATATAAAAGCGGTTGAATCTAACATAAAATTAACAATACTCCTGAAAAATCAAAATAAGTATTATTTAAAATTATATTAAGGTCTCGTCAACTAAATAACAGTGCTCACAATCAAATAAACTAACAACGAAAAAAATACTTTTGTTCTGAATTTTCAAACCTTTACGTTGTAAAAATCCAGGTGATACATATTTTTCACTCTACTATTAAATAATTTTTTTTTTTAAAATTCCTAACTTTACTGGTTTTTGAGATATCGGTGGTTGATCTTTATATCCGTGGACCTTCAAGCCCCGCTTTACCCTATAATATTTAATCAATTAATAAATACTTTAAATTTTTAATTCTTCGTCATAATATTAAACATTTTGAAATAATATATTCAACTTGAATTATTTGTATATATTAGGAATATTTACCATTGCGTTTTTTATTCTATAAAATAATCATCAAATTTGGGATCGATAAAATAGAACAACTACTAAATAGAAGGATGTACTAAACTTTCTAATAATTTCTAATAAAGAGTAACTTTTTAATGTTCATTATCTCACGGCATTATTACTGGCCATTAATAAAATGCACAAAAAATGGTTTTCTTAAATAATAACGTATAATTTCATAAATGAGTTGAAGATTTAGAATATTGTTTAAATATTTAAGGCTATCGCTCTTAATTATTGTATCGTAACAGAACTCTAATGAGGACTCGAAGAATTTTATTATACAAGCTGATTATAATTAACTATTCATTGTTTTTGTTGAATAGTGTTTATTTTTAGTTTATTTAGTTTTAGAAATATTTTAAAATAAAATATTTATGCATTTACAAGAAATGATGAAAATCTCTGTGTAATTCTGAAATTATAAAAAAAAAGCAAATGGACATCCAAAAAATGTGTGCTCAACTCAAAATATTAAAAAATGAACAAATTTAATATGATAATTATACACCCCACACGCATTTATTCCTACTAGATGATCCTTTATCTGTTTCACCGTTTTTTGTGAAACAGACATTATCAGAAATTTTTAATCACGGCTTTGTGAAATAAAATATTTATTAGAGTTCTGGTATGTTTCACTCAACCGCGCACTATTTTAATTGCTGATTTTATTCTAAACTAAATTAAATTTTTGTTGATTTTCAAATTAGATGGGAAAAAATTGTCTAGAACATGCTTAGAATGATTAGGAATAATCAATAAAAATAATAATAAACTAGTTGGTATTGGTATTTCGCCTTGAGGCAAGTTACATGAACTTCCCGATATGTGTAAATAATCGACTTAATCAATAAAAAAAATTAATTTATATGTTTTTATTTTAACACACAATTGAAGACGAATGAACACGTTAACTCGGAGTATTTTATAACAGCAAATTTTCAATAATCAATAATTTTTATAATTGAACCAGTTACCGTAGGACTTTAGTAATCATTTTCATAATAATCAATAATTTTTATAATTGAACTAATTTCCTTCAGTATGTGCATTGAGACCAAGTACTCTAGCGTTATACTAAGTAAATCATCTAATTTTAACTTTACCACACGTCAAAAAAAACTACTCATTTTCTCAAACTTTGATGAATTCTTAAAATTAAACTACTATATTACCGTAAGGCCGTAATATTTCAGTAAGTTCTATAAGGCCATGATATATATCGCCAAAAAAAGTTCCATAAAAATCGGCTATTTTTTTTCAACAGTTAATTCCAAGAAAACGGTAACGAAAACGATATAACCTTAAATCTGAAAATTATGCATTAACAACGAATAAATTTTTCTTAATTTTTTTAATCCTGGTCGACTATTATTTTTTTGTTCTAATAATTTGAATAAAAAAAATACCAATAGAATTAAACAGTAACTAATTTCAGTCAAAAACTACTTTAATCATAATAATTTTTTTTGTTGAAAATTTTTTATATATAAAATTCGAAATTGGTTGAAACCCGTTTTCAGAGGAAATTAGAATTCAAAAACTAGGTTTCTGAAATGTCGGTTTTTGTATAAACCCTACTGATCATGCATTACCCTCACCCTGGTTTTCTTTACCTTGCCAACTAGTATTAATAATCGTGCATAACATTTCTATGGACAGCGCGTACATTCGTTCAATAACAAGTGCGATTGTTGGCTCATAAATGCAATTGATGATGTCACGTATGCAATTTTATTTGAATATGTCAAAAAATATTTTCTCTCTTCTCAGGAAAGCGATGATCTTCAAGAGGCAATATTTTTCTTCGGTAGTAGCAACAGTCTCGTAAATCCGCTGATATACGGCGCCTTTCATCTGTGGCCATCTAGGAAAAGGAAGAGAAACACGAGCAGCCGTTATAGCAACAGGTAAAGGCTATAAATACGATCTCTTTGTACATTCCACATAAACCACATGTATTTTATTGGACTCATGCATGCCTTAGAAGCAATCATTTCGTCGTTGTGAGGATTCCAATTTATCTGAATCAACCATCAATCATCATAACATTCTTTAAGCGACGATCATGGATCATAGATCATACATATGCCATATCCCTATTGGAAAAATTTACTATATCTATATTTATATACTATATCAATCTATTGGTGGTGGGATAGTTTTCATCACTCGTTATCATAAAATAAATTGAAATGCCACAATACTCTTTTTATCAATTAAATTTGAATTATTTTTAATAGTTTTTTTATAGAACAAATGTACAAAGAAAATGACTTATTTTTTTATTAATATATAGAGATTGTTCCATAAAAAGTAAACCTACTTAATATTCTGGCAACATTTGATTTGAATGTTCATGCTAACAAGGAGAACTTCAAGTTTACTTTTCTGGGATTTTCATGAAACTTCTCATGGTTATACAGTACACTACACGCGTACGTATTGCGCGCGGTCTATTTTTTGTAAATTTAATTAATTTTCATATTTAAACCCCTTCTTATAGATAGACTTACACTATTTTAAGGTGTTCGGTTTGACTATAAACTCTATCATTATGTGAAGTTTTATCATTATCCCAGAAGAGTAAACCTGTGAGTATTGAATTCAAAAATAATACGGAATTGGATAAGGTGATATCGTAATCTGATAGTAACTTCATAAAGTAATTTTTTTCTGAAAACACATCTATGCGTTGTGTTTGAAACTCCATCTTAATATTATGAATAATTTGCGTTTTATTTCTTTCATCCTTGCAATGCTGATATTGTAATTGAAGCGCAATTTTCAATCGCAAATTTAGTATAAACTAAGTTTATGATTGTATCTAACTATCATAACTAGTTGGTATTGGTATTTTGCCTTGAGGCAAGTTACATAAACTTCCCGCTATGTGTAAATAATTGACTTAATCAATAAAAAACAAATTAATTTATTAGTGATTTAAAGTATTCCGAGTGGATTTATTACACATATTTGAAAACGAACGAACACGTTAACTCGGAGAATTTTCTAAAAGCATTTTTTCAAAAATCAAATAATTTTATAATTGAACCAGTTTCCGTAGGATTTCAATGGTTTAGTATGTTCATTAAGACCAAGTACTCATTATACCAAGTAAATCGTCTAATTTTAATTCTAACAAATGTCAAAAAAACTACTCATTCTCTCAAACTTTGATGAATTTTTAAAATTAATCTGCTTGTCGTAACGCTGTGATATTTCAGTAAGTTCTATAAGACCATGATATATATCGCCAAAAAAAAGTTCCATGAAAATCGGCTTAATTTTTTTTTCAACAGTTAATTACAAGAAAACGGCTCGGTAGATTGGCACCTAAAACTAATCAGTATCATTCCCGACTAATATCTTTCGAAAAGATTTTGATTCTTTAAAATCGATTCTGTAGTATGAGCTTAAATGTGGATCAAAAGTTCTACAGTTTTTTTCCAAATTACAAAGAAACGGCTTGGCAGATCGTCGTACAAACTGACAAACGATAATTCTCATCGAGATACATCAAATGGCTTTTAAATTTCTGAAATCGGTTCAGGCGATTTTGAGAAAAAAAAATTTAACACTTTATTACAAGAAAACGGTCCGGCCGATCTTTACCAAAAACTAATCAGATCGATTCCAAAACCAATATCTCCAAAATTTTCAAAATCGATTCAAAATTGGGGCTAAAACGTGGACGAATAATTTTTCACTTTTCTGCGATTTACAAAGAAACGGTTCGGCCGATCGTCGCGCAAAATTGATAAACGCTAGTCCTCATTGAGATACATCGAACGACTTTTAAATTTTTGAAACCGGTCCAGACGCTTTTGAGAAAACGTCGTTTTATGGCAAAAAATCTGTTCACATACACACACATACTTTTTCCAAATTTGATCTCATTCGATTTAGAATGGCTTGAAATGTCGAAGAAACATAAAATTAGCGAATCATTTTTGATGAAAATTTAAAATTCTCCTTTGGGAAAAAAATATACTATGCAATTCTTATTATTCATTTGTTTAAGTGATTTTCTAGTTAATTTAAACTTAGAAACTGTAACATTAAATAAAGTTTCTAAAACCAAAGTCAAAAATAATGACAAAACAGCCTGAAGTTTTCTAGAATTAAGTTTATTCGTTAAAATGTGAATTTTACGTTTATATTCGATTCATGGCAATAATCAATATTATTTCTCGCACTAATATTTTGTTTTATCAATATTTTGTTCTGTTTATATGTTATCAACACGTCTACTCTTTTTATACCAAATCATTCATATTATGAGCAGAAACATAATGTGTTTGCTCTGTTAACTAGAACATTTATTAACCCTATACGTCGATTATTTTTAACGAGAAGATATATATATGATATAGGATTTCTATATTTTAATATCAGTTTATAGTAATAGAAACAAAATCTTCAAGTTCCACCATTGGATCATATTCTGGTAAGAAGCGTGAACATGATATGCAATCATTAATGTTTTCCTATTTGGAAAAATATGTTTTTAGTGTTCATGATATTCTATTTGTAGCAATGAAAATGAGAAAGAAATATATTTGACAAAAATGAATGCTGACTGACGATAATCTGTGAGTAATTTCCATTATCTTGGCTGGCTTTTCTTAAGATATGTTTGAATTATTATAAATGCTTGCTCTTATAAACAATCAATTTTATAGAACCTTGAGCAGTATTCAGAAAAGCTGCATTGTAATAAAAAATAAACAATACATAACTCACTATAAGATTTTTCAGTTTACAATGCACTTTTATATATACATCTCAGAAGTTTAAATTATATCATTACTAGTAAAGAACATTTTATTTACATACTGTTTCACAACCTCCTTAACAAAATGTTTTGTACAAGTTTTGCATTGCTATTATTATTATGAGAATTCTCTCGAGTTTGCTTGCCAGTTTTACTAAAAAACAAATTGCTTTTAGCTAACATGTTAGAATCCTATCATGCATGACCACTATTAAGGTGACCATAAGTCCCAGTTTTTTAAAAGCAATATTTGTCCTAGATTTAGATCTTTTGTCCCGGATTGTCCTGTTTTTTTTTCAAAAATTAATGGGTAAATTAACAGAAATTATGAAAACAAACGTACAAGTGCTAAAATTTTGAAATTAATTATGAAGAAAAGTGAATAGAATTTTATGCAAGGCGCGAATGCAAAATAAACATATAGATCGAAAATATAAGATAGTAAATAATTATCATAGATAAAGTATTTAAACAAAATACCGACTTGAAAAAATATGTTCACCTTACTACTAATCATTGAATATGTTTTGCTTTGTACCAAAAATATTTGCTAAAAGATATGATCTAATAATAACTAATTTAGAATAATCAATAAAATAATAATTACTTTAAGTGCAATTTAACGCTGAATATTAAATTGTTCACATAATAATGTTTAGCCAAAATTACATGAGCTATAATAGCATGAATTTCAGTCACAGACAATCGTATCAACTACCGAATATTTGATTTTAATCGTATAGCTATCTCATATATATTATCAGAACGCTCCAGGAAATTCAGGATAATTCGAGAATAATTGTGTAGGGGCTTGGACATGATTAGCATTAAAATATTTTCAAATGATAAAGGTTATGTATATGACATGCGTAACAAATAATTTATTAAGTCTGGATTAAATCCTATAGGTATATACTTATGATATACATTAATATTGTAAATTTATTAATATATTAGTTGCCTTGCTGAAAGCTTGATATTGAACAATATTTATTTTTTCAAGAATGAAAAGCAAAATGATTTCATTAAAATAAAATGAATTATGAATATCATTCATTTTCCCTTTTTGAGCTTGCCGTAAGATGTGATATTAACCTCTTCCAACAATTTTGAATGTTAAAGAGTGATCAAGACAATTTTAGCTCTTCAAATGACTATAAATAAAAGTTACTTCTAATAAATTAAAATTTGTTATTCTTATCGTTTACATTTTGCTTGACTATAACAGTAAATATTAATATTTATTTCTATATATTCAAAAGCATCTAGATGGCTCATTTTTTAAAATAAAACTTCATAGAATTTATCATTTTATTTCGTAGAAAAGTATTTAATAAAATCACCAGTTTCAATACATGCAAAAGTAAGCCATTTTACACCTTTTGAAGTTGTGTTTGTAATAAATAATATACTTTTTTGCAATAAAATTAACAAATTGTTATGTTTATAGTTCAACCATATGATAAATAGTACAACCAATTACTTTTTTTTATCAAATATAATCGCTGCAGCAACTATCGTTACTTCTTAATATTATAGTTTTTACAATAAAAATTTTATAGTTACACATATATTTAGGCTTTATTGAAAATCTTTCCAATTTTCAAAACAGAGAACTTTATAACGAATATTCAAGACAAGATGAGCAAATTATGCGCAAGATTTTTACTTGTTTTGTGATTGATAATGATTTTGTGCATTTTGATATATGCATGTTTACTTTTAGTTTTATTTATTTGAATAACGAAGGTTGTGCAGCTAGTCAACCCTTCTATTAATTCCTTATTATAATGTGGTGAGTGCACAACGTCATGCCATTGACCCACAGTTGTAACTGAAACTTTATTCCAGTGTTATTATTATGTGTTTTTCTTAAGAATTGTCAAATCGATTCTTTTTTTGAAACAGCTCAATGAGAAACTCGGATTTAACTGTTTCTGTATGGATACCGCACTATTAAAAAAGCCCTAAATTAGCGCAAAGCACATCATTTGTGCCGCGTTATATGGAGACTAATAAATACAAAAAATCCAATAAATTATAAATTATTTTTATTAAATTGAAGATTTGATATAAAGATATGATAAAAAATATAATTTGTTTATATTGAATGGAATAGATAATTTCTATTAG